GGAATTTTGAGGATGCAGGGTCTTGTTTGTGTGCCTAATGTGGATGGACTTTGTGATTTGATTCTAGAGGAGGCTCACAGTTTTTGGTATTTTATTCATCTGGATGCCGCCAAGATGTATCAGGACTTGCGGCAACATTATTGGTGGAGGAGGATGAAGAAGTACATTGTTGCATATGTAGGTTGGTGTCTAAATTGTCAGCAAGTAAAGTATGAGCATCAAAGACATGGTGGTTTGCTTCAGAAGATAGAAATTCCTAAGTGAAAGTGGGAACGTATCACTACGGATTTTGTTGTTAGACTCCCACGCACTTAGAGGAAGTTCGATGCAATTTGGGTTATTGTGGATAGACTGACCAAGTTAGTGCATTTCATTCATGTGGCAGTTTCCTATTCTTCGGAGGGGTTGGCAGAGATTTATATTTGTGAGATCGTTCGTCTTCATGGTGTGCCTGTGTCTATCATTTCTGATCGAGGTACGCAGTTTACCTCGCACTTCTGGAGGGAAGTACAACGTGAGTTAGGTACGCGGGTTGAGTTGAGCACAACATTTCATCCTCAGATGGACGGATAGTCCGAGCGTACTATTCAGATCTTGGAGGATATGCTCTGTGCCTGTGTTATCGACTTTGGAGGTTTTTGGGATCGATTCTTGCCGTTAGCAGAGTTTGCATACAATAACAGCTATCAGTCGAGCATCTAGATGGCTCCCTATGAGGCATTATATGGTAGATGGTGTCGATTACCAGTTGGATGGTTTGAGCCGGGGGAGGCTCGGTTATTAGGTACAAATTTGGTACAGGATGCCTTGGATAAGGTTAAGATCATTCGGGATAGACTTCGTACAGATCAGTCCAGACAGAAGAGTTATGTCGATTGTAATGTTCGTCATATGGCATTCATGGTCGGAGAGAGAGTGTTGCTTCGGGTATCATCCAAGAAGGGTGTAATGAGGTTTGGAAAGAAGGCCAAGTTAAGCCCTAGGTATATCAGGCCTTTTGAGATCCTTGAGCGAGTGGGAGAGGTGGCCTACAGACTTGCGTTGCCATCAAGCTTATCAGTGGTACACCCAGTATTCCAAGAGTCCATGCTTCGGAAGTATCACTGCGATCCATCCCACGTGTTAGATTTCAGCACTGTCCAGTTGGACAAGTATTTGACGTATGAGGAAGAGCCGGTAGCTATTCCAGACCGGCAGGTTTGTCAGTTGAGATCGAAGAGCTATCCTTCGGTTCGAGTGCAGTGGAGAGGTCAACCTGTTGAGGCAGCTACCTGGGAGTTCGAGTACGATATGCGGAGCAGATATCCCCACCTTTTTACCAGCTCAGGTACTTTTCTATGTCCGTTCGAGGACGAACGGTTGTTTTAGAGGTGGAGAATGTAATGACCCAAAAGGTCATCTTATGTTCTAAAACTCAATTCCATGTTCCGAGGCCTTCAAAACCTCATTTTATTCCTCCTAAATTTGCGTGCGCAGTCCGGGCGTGTTTCCGGAAAGCTTTTATGTGGAAAGTTGATAAAAATAATAATTTTTGTCTTTAAAAGTTGATTTAGTTGACCTCGATAAACGTTTTGAGTAAACGGAGCCGAATTTGTGTTTTGACAGTCTCGATGGGTCCGTATCGAAATATGGGACCTAGGCGTATGCCCGGAATCACATTCCGAGGTCCCTAGCTCGAGAAATGATTTTTTGATAAAAATTGAAAGACTAAAAATTAAATGGTTTTAAGAATTTGGTTAATGTTTGATCTTGTTGGTATCAGGCCCGTATTTTGGTTTCGGAGCCCGGTACAGGTTCAACATAATATTTATACTTTATCTATGAAATTTGGAGAAAAATGGAACTGATTTGACGTGATTCGGACGTCCGGTTGTGAAAATAAGAATTTCAAGGTGTTCTTAAGAATTTAATGTGATTTGGTGCTAAATTTGTAGTTCTAGGTGTTATTTTGGAGATTTGATCGCACAAGCAAGTTCGTATGATGTTTTAAGACTTGTGTGCATGTTTGGTTTGGAGCCGCGAGGGCTCGGGTTAGTTTCGGATAGGCTACAAAGTGATTTGTACTTAGGAAATTTTTCTCGTATGCTTCAGGTCTGCAGACTTCAGCGAGCCTCGCATTTGAAAAGAAAGTTTGCATTCGCAAGCAGTAGGGCTGGGAGGGTACCTCTGAAATTGCGAAGCTCGGGATCGCAATTGCGATCAGCACTGGCCGCACTTGCGAACAATTGTTCGCATTTGTGATGTTAGTAGACCCAGGTCAGTCTTCGCATTGCGAAGTGAAGTTCGCATTTGCGAACCCCTGATCGCAAATGCGATACCAACAACTGGTCAAAATGATTTTGGACGGGATTTTTCATTCATTCTTCAATTTTTCAAAACCTAAAACACAAGAGGTGATTTTTCAAAGACTTCTTCTTCCCCAAATCATAGGTAAGTGATTCTTAACTAGTTTCTTTCGATCTTTCACTTTATTTTACAAGAATTGTAAAAAAATGATTTTGGATGAGATTTTTCATTCATTCTTCAATTTTTCAAAACCTAAAACACAAGAGGCGATTTTCCAATGACTCCTTCTTCCTAATAAGTAAGTGATTCTTAACTAGTTTCTTTCGATCTTTCACTTCATTTTACAAGATTTCAACCTAGAATCTAAGGTTTTCGTGGTGGAATTGGGGATTTTTGGGTAGAAACTAGGAATTTCGAAATTTGAGAATTTAGACCTCAAATAGAGGTCGGATTCCAAAACCAATCGGGTTTTGGTCCAAATTTTCGGTTTGGACCAAGCGGGCCCAGGTGTTGACTTTTTCACAAATGGCCTAAATTGAATTCCTTACAATCGTGGGTAGTTCCTTAGGCTTAAATTGAATTGTTTGGTTGGTAATTTTCTAGATTCTATTGGTCCGGAGGCTTGTGTGAAGGGAAAAACTGTGATTGAGCTTGAGTTTGGCCTTGGAGCGAGGTAAGTGCTGTGTCTAACTTGGACTGAAGGGACTAGGAACCTTTGACTTAATTACTATGTGAAAATTCATGTGAGTGGCGTATAGGTGAGGTGACGAGTACCTATGTGCCGTCAATTTATCTGTTTTGCCTGTTTTCTTCCCATTCCTTATATATTGCTTCCTGCATTAACTGCTACATGCTTCACTGGTATTTTCATTCTTAATTGCTACTTGTCAGATATTGTTTTTCATTGTTGAAGGTATTAGTTATTCCTTAGTTTCATTATCTCATATTATTGGCTCAAGTCATTTTATCGGTGTTTTATGGTATATTTTGGATTGGTTTCGCTGAGTAGTATAATTTGAGTGAAGTTTCATAATTGTACATCTTTCCATTTGCTTTAGTTTGAGGTTTAAATATTGTGGAGAGTTTTGAGCTAAATTGTGAAATTCTTGTTCTTATTGTGTGATTGGTACTGATATGGTGGGATCGGGTTGCACGCCGCAACAGGAGTAATAATGGTGATATATTGAGGAGGAATAAGGGTGAAATGCTATTATATGGTGCGATCGGGTTGCGCACCACAACATGAGGAATAAGGGTGATATATTGAGGAGGAATAAGGGAGAATTGCTATTGTACAGTGGGATCGGGTTGCACACTGCAATAGGAGGAATAATGGTGGGTTGATATGGAGTAATAAGGGTGAATGTTCACATTGATATTGATTATATGGTGGGATCGGGATGCGCGTCGCATCAGTGTATGTGTTTATGTATCTTTCTTTTACTGTGCAAGTTATTTTGTAGTTTTGCGTTTCACTTAAGGGTTGGTTATAGCTGGGTACTGATGAGATACTTGAGTTCTGTATTCATTCCTTGCAAGTTACTGTTTTATTATGTTCCGTTCTTCTTTCTGCCTTTATTATACATTGTACGCAGGTTATATTGTAAATGCGCCGTCGTAGCCTCGTCACTACCTCGTCGAGGTTAGGCTCGACACTTACCAGCACATGAGGTCGGTTGTACTGATACTGCACTCTGCACTTTTTGTGCGGATTTTGGAGCAGGTTGTGGCTGATCGAGAGGTCGGTTGCAGATACATCCAACGAGGAGACCCAAGGTAGTCCTGCTGGCGTCCGCTTCTACCTCTCTACATTACTATTCTCTTTATTTTCAAAACAGTTGTAATTTCTTGAAGACTGATGTTTGTAGATAATCATAGTATGTTCGTGGATTGTGACACCGGATTCTGGGTAGTAGTAGTAGTAACTGTTCTGGCAATAGTTCATATACAAAGAAGTTGTTTACTTACTTCCGCAATTATGATCACTTGTTTTAACTTGTGACAAATTCAAAGAGATTCCCGCCTCCGGGCGGGGGTTCCCCGCGGGGCTATTACACGTATTCCCCCCGGGGGTAGCTACAAGCATAAACCGGTTTATAAAATTACGTAGAGTGATCGCAGAAACTANTATGTTTTTATGTGATCGCAGTAATTAGTAGGGAACCCATGGATTTGACTCTGGGATTGGGGAATTCCGTGACACCCCTGCCGGAGCCCATAATTCCCGATCTGAATCTTCCCCCCGAGGAACCCCCAGAAGAACCATATCAACCATTAATTCCTGGGGGGGGAAGTCTCTCGGTGGAGGAACAAAGGGCGATAGACCGCTTTGTTCGCCAGCAAAACCGGCTGGTCCGGTGCGCGACACACATGTTGCGGTCACTGGACTACTCCCCACAACCGGAAGACGTCATGAATCGTAAAGGGAATTGGTTAGTAATACTCTAACGTTGGCTTGCCTAGCAAGTGTGATGTTAGGCGCCATCACGGTCCCGATGGTGGGAATTCCGGGTCGTGACAACTGTATAGTTAAACTTTGTTCAAGAGCCAGTTTGGAACTTTGTTCAAAAAAGAACCAAAGGGGATGCAAGCTGCCAATTGTTATTGATTACATGAAAAAGTTAGCGGATGATCAAGACATGATTGCTGATCAGTTTGTTAAATGTACAGTGAAAAAGTTTCAAATGTGAAGACAGAGAGCAGATTTGATTTCATTGGATGGTAAAAATCAGAGATAAATAAAATGGTGACACTAATCGAGATATTTTGATTCCTCCCTCTCCAAGTGTGATTCGTAAATTATATTGTTTCTTTTTTTTGTAAATGAGTAATTTAAAATTAAAATGAGGTAGATAAACATGCAGTTGATCCGAGCAACAATAAGCATACACTAATTTCACTTCTTCCTACCACAGTTCCAGAAGCTTACAGTAGAGATGCCATACTGTTCTTCCAGCCTAAGGACATCGTTAACATGCACGGAGGAGGTATGATGCTAAGCCCAAACATATCCTTTAGAGCAAGCGCCGGCTCAGAGAACTTAATCAGCTTTGCAACAATGGCAGCGCTCTCCATCACGTGATTCATATCTGTGTCGCTCCACAGACGATGAATCAGTTGGTGTCTCCTCCTTTTGGAGCTTAACTTTATGCCCCATTTATGGAAGATCTCATTTCTCTCATCTCCTGGAAACCTTTTATATATGAGCCTGCTTAGCGTAGCTCTCTCACGGCGAAGAGCTTTGAGGCTGTAATTAGAGAAAATATAATTTGATTCAAATTAGCAGATGATGCACTGGTGCAATATATCAAGATTTGATAAATTGCATTAGGTCAAGCTATTAATTTACCAGCCTATATGGTTCAAACACATTAAAAGGGTATCGAGAATTAAAAAACTCTGATCTAATTTACATGAATGCATGAGGGGAGTGTATAAAAATACACAAGAGACAAAACATATTAAACGAGTGTAGGAGAGCGGCAAGGTGCAAATTTTACCTTGACGCAAGACCGACTGTCTGACCACCTTGAAAAGCTGAGTTTCCTTTGAGAAATGTCTCCTTGAGGAATGAAAGTCTTCTAACCTCGACCTCCATGTAAATAGAGTCCAAAGGGTCACCTTTAAACAGCAGGAAGAAATATGTCCTGTGGATCAACGAAATATGGCAAGTCTGCCAAAGTTCAATAATCCTTTTTTGCAGCTTCCCAAATTCAAGAGGCCAATCTGAAGGAACTTCCAATGAGTCTGGCATAGGATCCAATCCGACATTTTTAATATTCCTTTTCGACTTCCCAGAATCTTGAGCCTAGCACGGATATCAGGATGCATCTAATGAGGACAAAGTTTAGGATAAAGACCAGCTTTTCCAAGTGATTGCTCCGGTCTATGATGTTGTTTATTGACATTGAATTTCTCTAGTAAAGATATTTAAAGAGAGCGAGAACATTCTGACATCAGTTAATAAGGAAAAAGCTTGGCAGACGCATCAATCCAAAAATTCAACCAATTGCTGAAATAAAGTTGCCACAAACAGAGTAAAAGCAAACTAACAAGAGAGTCTAATTTATGATCTCTGCATGCACTGATCTGAATAACTATTTTCTGCCACTGCCGGCAATAACCACAAACATCGAAGATTAGAAAGTGGCTATGCAAGTATTATCTGCCACTAAATTGACTACAGCAAAATGGCACGCACAAGGTAAGTTCTGCATATCTAACTGTAAAGCCATGCAAACAAAACTTACAGGAAGAAAACAAACAAGGTACCCTAAACAAGCTTAAGTAGGAATGAATATAGTCCAGACCTGATTGTGCAGTTGATTATCATACTCAAGCTTAGCCATCTCCTTCAGGCCTGCCACAGAAGTGTCAACACTCGGGATATCCTCATCTCCAGAGGCATTGCTGCCTCTTTTGAGCTCATCTATGAAAGTGCTACAGTTGGAGGACTGTGAATTGTTTCTTGACAAATTAGGTCTGGTTTTCCCGTAAATTAATGGAGGATATTTCCAGTGCTTCCTTTGGAGGCCTTCAGGTCTACCTGGAAAATCTCTCTCTTGCTCGTCGGTTGGGGTAGTCTCTCTTTGTTCTACTATCCCAGATTCAGGTGAAAACGAGCCAATCATAAGATTTTCTCTAAAGCTCCTGCTTCTTGTTAATTTCATGTTTATATAGCCTGATATACTTGTTGAAAGGGCACATGGAGATGAATCAAGAGGGTGAAATCTGGCAAGAGAATCTGTAGTCTTCTGTATGTCATGCATTTTCTGCCCATTGCTGGAAGGAGGAGATATTCTTTCTCCATTCTCATTGTTTGATAAGCTAAAGGATTCAAAGGTTCTATTTCCACCAGGCTCATCCACCTCAATACATTGAACTTCCTTGCAAAAATCATCAGAATCTTCTCCTGTCACAAAAGCAAAAATTTTGCTCCTTTGATATCGATCAGGCAAACCAAAGTTGCCACTACATTGAGCAGGTATAGCATAGGATATGGCATCACTTTCACTGTCCCTGTTATATGACTCAGCTTTAGCTATTGAGTCAGATACTGAGCATTCATCTCCAAACATGTTCCCTTCTAGTGATTTAGGAAGTAGACTTGACGCACCCTGAAAAGTTTGAGAGATATAAGCAACAAATGAAGGACAGCTCGAATATCTAACTCAATCGCAAGACATTATACAAACCCTTTGGCTGGAAATTTTATCATTTCCAAACATCCGCAGCAAATCCTCAACCCGGGATTGAGCATGATTACGCTGCTTAGTTAATTCCCTCATTTCATTCTCTAACTGCATATAGAACCACATAAACAAGTGAATATTCTATAAACAAAATAATGTCATATCGAACTGAGCTCCACTTGATAGATAGTATAATGATTTACTTTCATAAGTAACTGCCAAAGAAACCAACTTTTCCAGATTGGACAGGAAATATTGTCAGTAGAAATGTTAATTTACGAAAACATTTGCATATACTACTAAAACCTGAAATAAGGATGCTTTCATCTGAGTAAATGTAAAATAAAATTGGCAAAATACATAAAGACCCCATTAAACTTGTCCAAAAAACAGGTTTGAACACTTAAACTAAAAGGGTGTTCTTTTATCCTCCTAAACGTATTTGAAATGAATTATTTTCCACCCTAATAGCTGATGTGGCAAAAAAATAAAAATAAAAAAATAATTAAGCGCGTAAAAGGTGGGGCCCTTTCTTTTCTTTTCTTCAGATCTCTTCAGTCGGTACTGGATCGGCGTCACGTAGGGCATTTGCCGCCGTTGAGGTGGAGAATTTTGGTGGTGAGTCCAGGTCCAGCTCATCTTCTTCTTCGTACTCATCTTCCAGTTCCGGTTTGGGTTCACCGGTTGTCTGTATCACTGAGCATTTCGCCGCCGGTGAGTTTGAGTCCGAAAAGTTTAATGCCTAAGTCACCAGAACTGGTCGCTATTCATACTTCTCCACCACCTCAGTATTCTCCTCCGCCGCCGCTTCTGTATCACTGAGCATTTCGCCGCCGGTGAGTTTGAGTCCGAAAAGTTTAATGCCTAAGTCACCGGAACTGGTCGCTATTCATACTTCTCCACCACCTCAGTATTCTCCTCCGCCGCCGCTTCTGCCGCAAGCAAATTTTGTGCCGATATTAGTCATGGGGAATGAATCTGATTCACCATCTCCTCCTAGTTCATCATCACCAGAGAGATATTCAAGCAGAAGCATTGACTCTTCGCCCCGAAGTTTCAATGTTTGGGATCAGAATCTTGAATCTCCAGCGAGAATCACCAATCAGATACAGCAGATTGAGCCAGTTTCCATTGCCCCACCACCACTGCCGCCACAGCCTCTTTCGATTAGTATTCCGGCTAGTGTACTGCCTCTACCTTCGCCACCACCATGTAAAAATTGGGATAGTCCCAAAACTCCAAAGCCACCATCTAAGCCTCCAGTTCTTGTAACTCCTTTAAAGCCTATAGCACTTGAAAGTCCAGCATTGACATGGTTTTGACGTGGTGCGCGTGTAAAACACCTCATATTGTGAGACTGGTATTAGTGTTTCAGGTAGGAAAATAATTCACTTCAAATGCCTTTAGGTGGTAAAAGAACACCCGTTTAGTTTAAGTGTTCAAACCTGTTTTTTGGACAAGTTTAATGGGGTCTTTATGTATTTTGCCAATAAAACTTTACTTTATAAAAGAATTGAGTTATTCATTGAACTGCACAAATTTTAAATATTGATGTTATGTTTTTCTATCAGACTAACTTTTCAACCGTTATTTTAATATTTTATTTTACTATCATTGGTAGAACAGAGAAATCAAACTAACATCTGTCTTCCATGTCAAATCAGATACTATCATATAAGATGAGACAAGTGAAGTACTTTATTAACTGGAAAAGTGATTTCATACTTTGTCAAAAGCATGGGATATGCAGAGAAGCCTTTTATCAGAAGCATCGGGATATGCAGAAAACAAAACATGTCTGAGTTTCCAGACATCGTACAACTCCTGTTGGCTTTTGCTAAATTGCAAGCACACGAACAAGAGTCTTTAGGAAGAAAGGATCACCTTTTCAATCTGCTGATCTTTCTTCCTCAGCAATGCCACATGATCACAAGTAGTTATAGGAGTTTTTATTTCGCTTTCTAATCTAGCTAACTCTTTCTGTAGATGCTTCACCAAGGCCTTGTCGGACATGACTACATTGACCTGTGCATTAGTGGTCACTTCTTTGGCGCAGCTGGCAAATAAAAGTGTATTTCGAGATTGCTCAACATGACTCTGTGCTGGGCTCAGGGTGCAAATAATGGCAGTTCTCGCGTTGCCTCCTAATGCAGGTTGAAGGATACGTGTTAGCTTAGAGTCCCTGTAGTTCACATGCCCATGTCTTGCCATGCTGCAGTTAATCAACATAGATACACAAAGATGTGCTTCAGACCAAGGAAGTAGGAAAACAGACTATGAACCAAATACACTGTTATTGCATGTATAAACAGCTAATAGAGAGTGAAAGAAGGAACGACTCATCCATGGTTTAGATCAATGTTGATATTATGAAAATTTACATAAAATAACGTAATACTAAGATATTAGTAGCGTACAGTTTAACCTCACAAGTCTGTGGGATATGCAAAGGTGACATCCCCAACATGAATTGTGGAATACTGACCACAGAAATCTAGTACATACTTAACCATTCTTATGTAGTTTCATCAACTAATGATATTGCACCCTATCAGGAAGGTGATTTAAGAGAGAAGCAATCAACCTGAGCTTGCGAATGACAGTTCCTAGGGTCAGTAAACTGCGATTAATATGACAGCCTTCTTTCAGTCTTTGCCCAACAGACAGCGCCTGAGATGCACGTTCACTTCCAGCCAGATCAACAAAGTTCTTCATTCAAAGATCATAAACCTTCCATCAGGAGGTCATGTGTTGATGCCCCAAAAAAAAAATTCATAAAGGAATCTAATTGACAGGTACCACACTCGCAGCAAGAGTTGTTTTGTTCTCCTTCCCTATAAACTCACGAGCTGAACTTTCAATTGTCTGAAGAAAGCAAAACCAGAAGAGTCCAGTTCATAAGTCTTTCCTCCTGGATGATGTATCACACAATTCACAGGAAATTGTTCAAGACAGAGAGAGAACAGGGGCATACCAATCTTAGAATTTGATGAGACCTGGAACTAGCTAAGTTAAGATAGGTCTCCCCGGTTTGTCTTTGAGCTGCAAAGGGCCACAAAACTTGTGATACATGGAGAAACTAATTTTGGTGCCACCTGCTAGACATTGATAGAATCTAAAAGAGATGGGGTAATACACCTGCCTTCACAGATGGATAAGAGCTCTTTGAGATGATCCCAGCCCCGTAAAGTTTCTTCTGTGAGTTTCTCAATGATGGTCCCTTTCTGCAGAACTCAAAATTATTAGAAATTATTTTGAGTTTTCGATGACAGTTCTTGTGTGCAGAACTAGAAATTATTGTGTCTTTACATGCTGCAAAACATAGAAATAGAAACCCACCTCAGGATCATCGAGCATTCTTAGCGGAGTACTATCTGAACTGAGGAGGTCTCTAACAACTTCGTTGTAAATCTCCATAGCAGAAAACTTTAAAACAAAAGATCTTTCTTCATGCTGGACAGAAAAAGGAAATATTACCTTTGCAAAAGCTCAAGGAACAAGCAAATAAAGAAGAAATACAGTTTAGTATTTACAGCTGAACATACCCAATGCAAAGCAAATATAATGCCATTTAGTAATGAGATGCAACAGATGAACTCTGTTCATAGATGGCATTTAATTTATCCTATACATCGGTTCAAAAAGATTTACCCTTTTCATGTAGTCGTATATATCTGCCACTGTATACTCCGTAATTCCATTCATGGTGTATGTCTTTCCGCTGCTTGTTTGTCCATACGCAAAGATAGTTGCTGAAATAATATGTTTAGATTGTTGTAATGGATAAGATGTCTTTCACTTTATAAGGAGATGAAAATAAGAATATAAAGACATATAAAAAGTACACTCACAGTTGATTCCCCTGACAACTGAAAGGGCAATATCCTTTGTTCCTCCTTCGTACACTTCCCTTGTTGTGCAGTCTCCCCTAAACACTTTGTCTATTTTCACGGGGAAAACAACAATAAGATAGAGGAAAAATAACATCTGTTACAATGGCAAATCATTTTCATATGGTACTTGAGATCTAACCCTTACATAGTTCTCAATGATCACATTCTCCATTGTGAACTAAGAGTAACAGTAAGTCCAAATGTAAAGGCTTGAAATGGGGAGTTTTCTTACCGAAAGTATAAGCAGTTGGAAGTCCAGACCTCTCCTGGAAACTGTTCCTATAGAAAATGGTGGTTTCATTGATGCATTCCCAATCAGAAGCTTCATTCCTTGCAATTTCCTTTTCACTCAGAGGCCTCAACCTCACCAAAACCAGAATCTTCTCTTCACCACTCAGTGCCGTCCCTTGCATTTTCTCCCACTTCATCTGTTCTTCACCACCAATAGGCCCCATGTCTACTTTTATCCAATCCTCTCTTTCTAAAAACCCATGTCATACTAATAACAACAACATCGTGATTCAGGATCACCAAAGGAAACATCAAAGCAAGCACAACTCTCTCATATTGCTGCTAACAGAAGAGTAAAGACAGTTAGCATGCTGCAATATTAGTTATGCTTGTGAAGAAAAACAACAATGATCAATCAAACTAGAGTTATTGTCCCCAGAAGACCTGATATAGAAAGTACTAAACAACTTATACCACACAATTACAAAGGTTAACTAATGCTTGCAAAGACGAGTTACGAGTATAGGACTTAAAGGTAGTGGGTGCACCTCTTATCACATGGAGTGTACATAATTCAAAAATATTCTTTACATTTTCTATATAATAAAATAATAATAATAATAATAATACAATAACAAACCCAGTATAATCCCACGAGTGGGGAATAATAATAATAATAATAATAATAATAATAATAATAATAATAATAATAATAATAATAAATGGATCTAATGGACGCAAATGCACTCATTACATACATATTGGATCCACATCTTAAGTTAGTGTAATTAAACACTTTGTATAAACTTTGGTGTTAAGTTCTTCAAATTAAGCATAAAAAAGACATGGAAACTTTGCTTAATGGGGACCAATGTAGGGACCCAAATCTGCTTCAAGACCAAGTTAGTGACTGTGAAGCTGGGAAAATTTTAAACACGAGTGGACCCTGACACGGCAACAATACAAAAGCATGTATATCAAACAGTGAATAGAGAAGTAATACTGAAAGAGAGTCCATCCACCTTCTGTGTCGTTATCACTGAAGGTAGTGAATGTAGTGATGGATAAGGGTTGCAATTGGACGGTCAGAATCCCCCGTGCTTCAATTCTAGTGCTGAATATTTCAACCAAAAAGGAAAAAAACCGAAGCAAACAGAGATGTATGTTAATTACCAGAATTACTAAATCCTCTTTACACATACACAAAATCTAAGATTCAAAAGTGAGGAAACCATCAACTTCATTTTTTAATAACAGTTTAAAATAAAAAACAATTACGCCTCAATTCTAATTTAGTTGTTTAATCCGCCCGATTTGTCAAGCTTCATTTCAAAAGTTGAACCACGGAGAAGTTTCACAAAGTTCAACAGTTAACAAAATGATCCGGCTTGTTCGAGTTTCAGTTAATAGTCTAAGAAAAACAACAAAAATCAGCTTGAGAAAAAATATTTTTCAACTGTAAATTTGAAATCAAGGGTGAACATTGAAGCTTAGAGAACACCGAAGCATCGTTCATCGATGATGATCATGATGAAGCTTTAAACGTTAAATACAGCTAGTTAAATTGAAAAATTAAACGAAAGGGAAAACATGACATAGCAAGAAAAAAAAAATTGCACAGCAAAAAAATACCAAAAAGAGTACAGACAGATACTACTAAGGAACGAAAACTCAATGGGTTCAACTGTAAATTCGAAATCAATTGTGAACTTGAATATAAGTGTACCTGAAGTTTCGTTTTCAGTTCATGATGATTAAATTTTACGCGTCAAATGCAGTCAATAAGTTGAAAGATGAGAGTTGAAAAACAGAATGTAGCCAAAAAAAAAAAAAAAAAAAAAAAAAACGCAACAATTTATCAGAGAGAACAGTAAGAAATTTGGTGGAGCTTTACCTCCATTTTCAAATTCTCCTAGAAAACAGACAGAAATTCTCAGAAATGCACACATATAGAACAAATCCTCTCTCTCTCTCTCTCACACACACACACACACACAAAGACGCACACACACACAGCGTTCAGTAGTCACTTGTATGAACAGCATACATCATTAATCGGAGGGAGTAGTAGTTCTATTTTTGCAGTGGTGCAGCGCAACGTCTTTTTTCGTGGGACGAGGTGCGGACTAGGTGTAATGACAAATTTACCCTCACTTTATTTTTAAAAAAAGGTCTAGAAACGAGACACCAATGCCACGTGGCCCAGAAATATCGGTGCATAAATTCCATGCGTTTAATAAGCAGACGAAGTGCCACTTTTTAATTACAGTTTGTTTGGGACTAGGGACCGCTGTGGGCCTTCTTTTTTTTTTTTCCTTCTCATTTTCGTTATTATTCCTTTTCAATTTCCTATTGAACAGAACAATTAACATATTTATTGTTCTCTGTGTCATTTTATATGACTATTTTGCTAAGTATGATGTATTAAAAAAAAACAGACATTTATAACACATAAACTATGTTTACATAACTATATTAATGATACGAATAGAATTATAGTCTATCATTTAGTAGGGGCGGTTTAGAAATTTAAGTTGATGGATTAAATTTTTCAAATTCTTAGTATTAAATTTATCGTACTTTTGAGATTATATGGTAAATTTTTTAATATTTGTTAAAATCTCCTAACTTTTACATATATATTTCTGTTATATGTTAAAAACATAGTACAATTGAACTCACAAAAACCAAAGCTCCATTCGCCACCATAACATAAAATGGAAGTATAGTATACTGCTGACTTTCAACACATAAAGAGTTATTAATATTTTTTAAATAAATTAAAAGAAAAGAGTGTAATATACAATAAGGAAAAAGTGAAAGTAAATAATCTAACATTTAAAACTAAAGTGACTTTTGCAGAAGTGCTTATGATGGAGCTTTGAATTCAATGACGTATAATGGAAGTAGTAAATTTCAAATTTAGCACTTTCGCTTTCCCTTAATTATACTTTGGGTTACGTTTCCAAAATTCAAAATTAGCACCATTTGATTTTGAAAAAAAGTTTCCAAAAGAACAAACCAAAATGATTTCCCCAAAAAAAGGAGCCTAACCCTAGAGGTCACAAAAGAGATACAAGTATTCTCTTAAAACATCTTTCTCAATAATTTATTCAAACACAATACTTTTCTTTCAAAAGTATTTTCAAACACTAATCAAAATCTGAATTTAAACTCCGCAAGATTAACTACCGGCTTTTGGTTTTTCTCTAATGTTGTACTTCTCTTTTTTTGCATGTAAATTAAAGCCCTATAAAAGAAAATATATTCTAGATATTGATTAATTCACCAGTCTTCAGAAAGAAGTACAAGTAGCAAGAGATCTCTCTTCCCAATATCTAATATGTTATCTGTGTTTGGATTTAGCTGAAAGAAATTCGATGAATAAAAATGTTAAATGCATCACTGGTTGCTGCCATCTTTTAATTAAAATTATCCACGTTGATGCATCTTCTTACTTTTCGGGTCAATTGATTTTGTGGCCCATTACAAACTTATATTTAGTTTTATGACCCTATCGCTTTTTTATTGGGAGATTTGCTTTTATACCTAAGAGATCTAAAAAAATATTTTCTTAAATTCAACATTGTAAAAAGCCATGAAGGCCTAAAACCCCTTACTTTTCTTTTCATTGTTCATTAATTATTGGATATTTCCATAAAGTTTGGACAAAAGTTAGAGAGATGGTAGAAGAAGAGTGCCACCAATAATTCACATGGATTAATTATGCAAATTAGTATTTTAAAAAGTGGGGCATGAGGCAAAGTGTAAACCTTGAGGCGTTGGACGTAAGCCCCACCGATCCTTAAAATTTATATATTAATATAATAAAAATAAATATTAAAAGAAGATACAATATACAAAAATTAAGAAAAAAATATAAAGTAAGTGAAAATCATGATGTATAACTACTTCATCTTGAAATGACTAGGCTCAACAATTGATTAAAAACGAATAAATTGTTTAATGAAAAAACTAATCAAATTGTAAAAAAGTAGAAATTTGTAAACTAACTTGAATGAACAAAATAACTTGAAAAGCATATAATGAACTAACTATTTAACTTGAAATTTTAGATAATAGGCTAAATCAATTAAATTTGTAAAGTAAGGCCACAAGTAACCGATTTAGAAGTGAAACAAATTGGATACCCAAAATTTCTATTCTTAGAAGTGAAATAGAGGGCCTCTCACTGTTCCCAGGAAGCTTAGTATCAAAGAAATTTGGTTAAATAATAAGTGGGACTTAACTAAAATCCCTTTCAACTTCCTCATCATATAAAGAATGTCATCCTTTCCATTCATCCTCTCCAGAGTAGCCATGACACCTGTTATTGGGAATTAATAGGAAATAAAATTTTCACGACAAAAACTTGCTACAAAGCGACCAATCAAATGAAAATAATTTGGTAGATTTCAATTGGATTTGGGACTCTAAGTGCCCAAACAAGATTAAATTTTTACTATGGAAATGCCTTCATAATAGACTACCCACGCGCTCTTATTTACATTATATATGGTTGAACATTGATCCTCTATGTCCAGTATGTAAAAATGAAGAGGAAACACTTAAGCACATTTTCACAACCTAAGATCCTCTACCCCTTCCCCCTACCTTACATGGGAGAAGCTTTTCCCATTCGTCATGTGGAGCATTTGGGTAAACAGGAATAGTAACAACCACAATAACATGGCCCTCAACTTCAATCATTCACATGCTATTTCTCTAGCTTTGGAGTATAATTTTCTAACTACGAAGGAACCTTTATCGGCCCAATCCTATACTACTATGGTCGCATGGCACAAACCTTCTCAAAAAAAATTCAAACTAAACATAAACGGAGCCTTTCAAGAAAATACAAATACGGGAGGCATGAGTGGTGTTTTCAGAGACCATAGAGGGGATTAGATAATGAGCTATCAACACTCCAATCCCTCAAGCTCTCCCCTCCAAACTGAATTGGAAGTACTAAAGGAAGGTCTTTCAATCGCTCTCAGCCATGGTTATTCTCCACTAGTGGTGGAAACGGACGCAACGGAGGTCATCAAAGTATTACATTCTAATTGTGTCCATTATAACTCTACTATTATTGATTGCAGGTGGTTAATGCACCAGCTAAAGCAAGCGAAGATCAACCATAATTTTCGGGAGGGAAACAAGGTAGCTCACAGGATGGCTAAGGAAGGACTCAAGCATGCACGAAAACACCAACTTTTTGATAATCCATTGCCTTTCGTTTTAAATAACTTAGCAATGGATAAGAATGGTTGTGTGTATTTGCTTAAAAACATTAGTACTAATATGTGTTTTAGTTTGGTCGAAATGGGGAATTTGAATATCTTCGAGACTTGTAATTTTGTTACCGATGTAACTATTGGTACTCCGTAATGTTTAATAAATTATCTTTTCCTGTAAAAAAAAAAATAGATGATTTCAGTGACAATAGTAAGAAAGGATAACAAAATCTATTAGAAAGAAAGAAAACTTCTCGTAGATCTTGAATTGCTCGATGATGATTCTTTTGACAATTTACGTATCATAGCAATGAGCATTAATGATTTCAGATAGGATAAAAAGTGGGAAAAGTAGGGTTTATCCTGACTACTGTAACTGTCCTCTAATATCTCGCCTATCCGTTACAGCATTATCAACTCCTCCCGTATGTTACGAGTCCGGAACCAAAATGTAGTATTTTTGACTCAAACTATATAAATAGGTGGTAAAAGAAAAATGACATTTTTATATATAGCGCCATAATACCTGGCTCTATATACTAACAGTAACGGAACCGTTAAGGTATAGCGCCACAATACCTGGCGCTATACTGTAAAAGCTGACACATTCAGGTATATCGCCAGGTATCGCCACAATACCTGGCGCTATACATACAACATTAATGTATAGCGCCAGGTATAGTGGCGCTATACATAGATATTTTATACCGCTCCGTCTTCCATCTCGATTCATCCTCCATTTTTTAAAGACTCCATCTCTTCTTGGTCTCCCACCACCCCGTTTCTGCCATTTTTTTAAAAAAAAAATAAAAAATTGGGTCCCCCCGACACATAAAACTCGATAAAAAGGGTCTCACATTCGAGTAGAGTTTCGTGCTATTGTTGATTCACAATTCCGGAGTCAAAATTTCAATCTTTTTGCTTTGCCAAAATTCTAAATCGAGGTATTTCGATTTATTTTAAGTTGAAACATTTATAATAATGTATATTATTTGATTTGTATGTGTTCTATTACGGTTTGTGTTTTTTTTTCGAAACTAGAGTGTTAAATTTATCCGAATTTAATATTAGTGTTTTCTTAAAAAATATAAATTAGTAAAATAAATTTGTCTGTTAATATCCTGAT